ATACATGTCTTAAACACAATACAAGATGTCATAATCAGCATCTATGTCTTAATCACAATCCAAGATGTTATAATCAGCATCTATGTCTTAATCACAATCCAAGATGTCATAATCAGCTTCCATGTCTTAATCACAATCCAAGATGTCATCACAATCACAAAACATCCATGTCTTAATCACAATCCAAGATGTTATAATCAGCTTCCTGTCATTAAAACACAATCCAAGATGTCATAATCAGCTTCCATGTCTTAATCACAATCCAAGATGTCATCACAATCACAAAACATTCATGTCTTAATCACAATACAAGATGTCATAATCAGCTTCCATGTCTTAATCACAATCCAAGATGTCATAATCAGCATCCATGTCTTAATCACAATCCAAGATGTCATAATCAGCATCCATGTCTTAATCACAATCCAAGATGTTATAATCAGCTTTCTGTCTTAACCACAATCCAAGATGTCATAATCAGCATCCATGTCTTAATCACAATCCAAGATGTTATAATCAGCTTTCTGTCTTAACCACAATCCAAGATGTCATAATCAGCTTCCATGTCTTAATCACAATCCAAGATGTCATCACAATCACAAAACATCCATGTCTTAATCACAATACAAGATGTCATAATCAGCTTCCATGTCTTAATCACAATCCAAGATGTCATAATCAGCATCCATGTCTTAATCACAATCCATGATGTCATAATCAGCATCCATGTCTTAATCACAATCCAAGATGTTATAATCAGCTTTCTGTCTTAACCACAATCCAAGATGTCATAATCAGCTTCCTGTCTTAAACACAATCCAAGATGTCTTAATCACAATCCAAGATGTCTTAATCACAATCCAAGATGTCTTAATCACAATCAAAGATGTCTTAATCACAATCAAAGATGTCATAATCTACATTCATGCTATCTTAATGCTATGATTTAAAAACGAGTTTAAATTTGTCAAAGCTTCTAATCATCCCTTCAAATATTGTTCGTCATTGAGACAATTGTGAGTGAATTCAAAAATTTTAAAAGTGTTATGGACATCATTGAATCACAGTGACTTTCGTGAAGTTTACTCCTTCAAAACAGCCCAAAAATGACAAATTAAAAAGTTATAATTAATAATTTAAATCCAAACAAACAACGGAACCCATATCAAATACAGTGCATTGCAACAATCATTTTAAGGAAATGTGGTTGTCAAGGTGCATTCCTTTCAGTATGGGTCCATGCAACGTATGCAATGTGTTTTTGTTTCAGGCAAAATATGGGTGTATGTTGCAGGACGACCCGCGCCCTTTAACAGTTTGCAGTGCAGTATATTCGCTTCATGTAAAAAGTTCACTGATTGGTCACTAAGCAGTTAACAAATTCATTTCATGTCTTTTCAGCCAATCAGTAATGGTTTTACAGAGTAGGGAACTACATGTAATTATATTTGTCTGACAGAGGTCGATGGTAAATTTTATAAAAAGCACCTCTATAGATGGATTCAAGTTTCTCCATCTGAATGTCCACTTTATCAAAGCCTTCTACCATTCCACATATTCCAAGGCGACATATCCTCGTAGTGAGTGTCGGAATATTCACATCGTGAGCAACGTCGTGAATTTTCATCCATTTAGCATCCAATAGTTCATCTTGGCATACAGTGATGGCTGAGGTCAAAGGTTGCAGTCGGCATACAACATATATGTCTGAGTTTCCAAAAGCGTTAGGATGGTTGTGTTGTTGTCGGAATGATATAACAGACTTGAACTCTAGGTGAGATGAGAGAAATTTTGACAGCGTTATCCACATTTATACAGAAACCAATCTATTGTCAATGCTGCCCAGTATACTGTCAACCCTTTAATCATTTTCAATGCCAGCAACTAACTTGATTTTAGGTGATTTATGAACATTTATGAGGATGAAATTTCAGACAAAAATATAATTTTAATATTCATTGTTACAGAATGTATCATCCAGGCTCACGATTAAATATCAGTTGGTCACAGTGAATGGGATCTCATATGACCATCAGTTGGCAACACTGGATGGGATCACATGTGACCATCAGTTAGCCATACTGGATGGGATCACATGTGACCATCAGTTAGCCATACTGGATGGGATTACATGTGACCATCAGTTGGCCACACTGGATGGGATCACATAAGACCATCAGTTGGCCACACTGGATGGGATCACATGTGACCATCAGTTGGCCACACTGGATGGGATCACATGTGACCATCAGTTAGCCATACTGGATGGGATCACATGCGATCATCAGTTGGCCATACTGGATGGGATCACATAAGACCATCAGTTGGCCACACTGGATGGGATCACATAAGACCATCAGTTGGCCACACTGGATGGGATCACATGTGACCATCAGTTGGCCACACTGGATGGGATCACATGTGACCATCAGTTAGCCATACTGGATGGGATTACATGTGACCATCAGTTGGCCACACTGGATGGGATCACATAAGACCATCAGTTGGCCACACTGGATGGGATCACATGTGACCATCAGTTGGCCATACTGGATGGAATCACATGCGAACATCAGTTGGCCATACTGGATGGGATTACATGTGACCATCAGTTGGCCATACTGGATGGGATCACATGCGACCATCAGTTGGCCACACTGGATGGAATCACATGTGACCATCAGTTGGCCATACTGGATGGGATTACATGTGACCATCAGTTAGCCATACTGGATGGGATCACATGCGACCATCAGTTGGCCACACTGGATGGGATAATATGTGATCCTCAGTTGGCCACACTGGATGGAATCACATGCGAACATCAGTTGGCCATACTGGATGGGATTACATGCGACCATCAGTTGGCCATACTGGATGGGATCACATGTGACCATCAGTTGGCCATACTGGATGGGATCACATGCGACCATCAGTTGGCCATACTGGGTGGAATCACATGGGACCATCAGTTGCCCATACTGGATGGGATCACATGTGACCATCAGTTGGCAACACTGGATGGAATCACATGCGACCATCAGTTGGCCACACTGGATGGGATAATATGTGATCCTCAGTTGGCCACACTGGATGGAATCACATGCGAACATCAGTTGGCCATACTGGATGGGATTACATGCGACCATCAGTTGGCCATACTGGATGGGATCACATGTGACCATCAGTTGGCCATACTGGATGGGATCACATGCGACCATCAGTTGGCCATACTGGATGGGATTACATGTGACCATCAGTTGGCCATACTGGATGGGATCACATGCGATCATCAGTTGGCCACACTGGATGGGATCACATGCGACCATCAGTTGGCCATACTGGATGGAATCGCATGCGACCATCAGTTGGCCATACTGGATGGGATTACATGCGACAATCAGTTGGCCATACTGGATGGGATTACATGTGACCATCAGTTGGCCATACTGGATGGGATCACATGTGACCATCAGTTGGCCATACTGGATGGGATCACATGCGACCATCAGTTGGCCATACTGGATGGGATTACATGTGACCATCAGTTGGCCATACTGGATGGGATCACATGCGACCATCAGTTGGCCACACTGGATGGGATCACATGCGACTATCAGTTGGCCATACTGGATGGAATCGCATGCGACCATCAGTTGGCCATACTGGATGGGATTACATGCGACAATCAGTTGGCCATACTGGATGGGATTACATGTGACCATCAGTTGGCCATACTGGATGGGATCACATGAAACCATCAGTTGGCCATACTGGATGGGATTACATGGAACCATCAGTTGGCCATACTGGATGGGATTACATGGAACCATCAGTTGGCCACACTGAATTGGATCACATACGAACATCAGTTGGCCACACTGAATTGGATCACATACGAACATCAGTTGGCCATAGTGGCTGGGATAATATGCGACCCTCAGTTGGCCACACTGTATGGGATTACATGCGACAATCAGTTGGCCATACTGGATGGGATTACATGTGACCATCAGTTGACCATACTGGATGGGATCACATGTGACCATCAGTTGGCCATACTGGATGGGATCACATGTGACCATCAGTTGGCCACAGTGAATGGGATCACATATGACCATCAGTTAGCCATACTGGATGGGATTACATATGACCATCAGTTGGCCATACTGAATGGGATCACATGCGACCATCAGTTGCCCACACTGGATGGGATCACATGTGACCTTCAGTTGGCCACACTGGATGGGATAATATGCGACCATCAGTTGGCCATACTGGATGGGATCACAT